AGAATTCATGCACCTCGCTTATTCGTCTATCTAATTGTTTCGAAAATAGCGATACGAATAGTAGAAATTTTTTTAAACTCATTTTAAGAAATCTAATTTTCTGTTAAACAAACTAAGTTTAAAATGTTTTTAACTTCGTCTGACAAATGTCAATATTTTAATTTATATTTTTAATATTAATGAGGAGAATTCTGATTTTTTTGTGTTCGATGTCATTTTTAAAAAAGTATGATTTTGTTTTAGTTTTATTTTTTATTTTTTAATGTATAATAATAAAAAGGATGGTCTCGTATCGTGTGGTATTCTTATATACTAATATCGATACCATCAACAACAACAACAACAACAACAACAACAACAACAACAACAACAACAACAACAACAACAACAACAACAACAACAACAACAACAACAACAACAACAACAAGTTATCTATTTTCTATTTTAAAATCATTTTCACAATAATAAGGTAAATAACAATAACAATGATAATTATAAAATAATAAGCAATAGTAATAATTTATAACAATAATAATAATATTAACAAAAAAAATTATAAATAATAATAATTACTATAATAATAAGTAAAATGATATGTTATTTCTTATTATAGTAAGTTAATGATTAGTATGGATGGTGTCATTCATACAGAAGTCTGATCAAAGGAGTGACACCATTAAACAAAGGAGTGATACCATTATCAAAGGAGTGGCACCAACATCGGTTCGATACCATACGATAACGAGAAGGATAGTCTCGCAACTTGTGGCATTGTTTTATATACTAATGTCAATACCATCAGTATCGATTCGGTATCACACGATACCTAATGTCAATACCATCAGTATTGATTCGGTGCCACACGATACCAATAATAAAAAGAGTGGTAAGGTAATGCCGAATGGTCGCACAGTCAAAATTAGAAAAAAATAAATAAAATGTGACCTTTTAAATTAATTATTAAGAAAATACAAGTAAGATTGATTTTTTTAGGTTTAGTTAATAATGTTTAGTTAATGATACATAAAAAGAGGTGAATGATTTATTTACTTTAATTGTTAAATGTTGAACGCAGAACGAAAGACTATAGCAAAGGAGAACTACAAAGCCACGCAAGATTTATTTAAAGTAACAATACCAGATGAAACATTAAAATACGGAAGCAATACATCACGATCAAATAAATTAAAATAACAATATCAGAAAAGAAATTAAATGACGGAAGCGATACCACTCATTTAATTAAATTAATAATGCAATACCATTTGAAAAAATAAATGATAAATATGATGTGATATGATGCCACACAATTGTTGTGTCAATTATAAAGGGAAGAGTGGGGAGAAGTGGGATGTGGAAAAATTATCTCCAAAATTCCAATTAGAAGAGGTTTCCAATCAACGTTATCTAATATAAACAATGAGACTTTTCGTTATCAATTTAGCAAACATTGCTTTGTCTTCCTGTGTGTGGTAAAAACAACCTTTTTAATAAGTACCCCACCTTTTTTGATAAGATTTTTAGAAAGGTGAAGAGGGACAAAGAAAAATAAATAATCTACTATTTCTACCACTTTTGTGTAAATATTTTGTGGCAATCTCTTAAATATTTTGTTGAGGATTAGATGGTTTTAGAATTTAATAGTTTTTAATTTATAATTTTTGTTAAAATGTCGTGAATTACTCGCTTGTCCAATTTCACCTAATGGCTGTCCCACTTTACCCCAAAAGCACAATTCCTCTAAAAATAAAAGTAGCATATTGTAAAATTTATAATTTATTGTAATCTGCTGTTATTCTTAGGAGATGAAATCAGTACCCGAAATGATAATTATTCGTTTAAACTTGTTTGGTGCAGTACATGTATTATGTAAAAAAGATAAAATAATTATTGTGGAAAGACTTTTTATTGTGTCACTCTACCCTTCTCTCCCTTACAACTCAGTTATTATATAAATTTACTATTTTAAATTACAAATCGTTTATAAAAATAAAAAATAAATTTTCGTGAAGACCTGCGATACCAAATGATACAACTGATATCGGTATTGGTACTGAATGATACTAACATAACCAATACTTTCAATACCAGTATCGCGTGATCTTGATATCGATATCGAGACACTTACAATAGTGATGACTTTTTTCTTATTGATGACAATTTATTGATTTTCAATAGTGATGACAATTTATTAATTTTGGGCATTTATTTTTAAAAGAAATATTTAGAATAGAATATTTTTCAACAACCGTTTTATTCTTTTTTTGCATTTTTCTAAAAATTATTTTCGAAAAATTTTTATTTTTAAAATTTTTTTTAAAAATATTTTCCAAAAATTTTTCTCAAAGAAATGGTTCCGAATATTGTGTTTGGAAAGAACTTATTTTTAAATAAGATCTACAACAATATTATCATTTTAAAATTTTGTGAGATAATTATGAGAAACTTCGATAAAGTAAAATTTTTACATATTTTAAGAGATATTTTACATTTTGTTTTAAACATAAACAGCAAAACTTAATTTTAAGTTTGTAAATATAAGAAGTGTAATAAATAAATAAAAAAATCTTTAAACGTTCTATTAAAACCAAATATAATTCTGCAGGCATTTTTTTATTTGCTTTATATTTTATTAACTTCTAAAATAAGTACTCCCTTATGCTATAATAAGTACTATTTTATATAGACTTTTTCTTTATACTGAATCTTTAAAAAGTGTATACTTTTCATTCATTTATGGTTATTTAACCGATAGTAGTATCTATCGGTTAAATAACCATAAATGAATAAAAAGTATATACTTTTTAAAGATTTAGTATAAAGAAAAAAGTCAATATAAAATATAAATATTTTTTGAGATTTTATTTTTGATAGATTTGATATAAAATTTTCATGATATATTTTCACCTAAATCACTTCAATAAGATTAATGGTTGGTTCACTTTTAATGACTGACTTAATCACAAACAGAATGACTGACTTAATCACAAACAGAATGACTGACTTAATCACAAACAGAATGACTGACTTAATCACAAACAGAATGACTGACTTAATCACAAACAGAATGACTGACTTAATCACAAACAGAATGGCTGATTCTTAATCACAAACAGAATGACTGACTTAATCACAAACAGAATGGCTGATTCTTAATCACAAACAGAATGACTGACTTAATCACAAACAGAATGGCTGATTCTAAAGGAATTCGAAGTAGTTCAATTTTAAAGAAATTATTTATTACATTAATGGAAGTCTATTAATTTGCTTATCGATTTTTAACGGTTCTTCAATAAATGTTTTAAAAAGATCTTAAATGTTATTGCTTGGTTAAAAAATGAATAAAATTGTTATCAATTTAAAAATTTGGGATGCAAAATATAAACCATTATATAATTAAGAATAATAGTGGCCCTAGGATATCTTGATGATTCAAGTATGCCTTGATGATTCAAGTTTGATCAAAATTAATGATTCAAAAATTAATTTGTCAAAAGACATATCAATAAAAACTCCTGTATAGATTTAATAATGTATAACAATCATTATTAAATCTATCAAATACACAATTTATTAGTTCGAATATATAATTTATTAGTTTGGATATATAATTAATTAGTTCGATCACAGCATGATTGTTTTATGATTTTTTTGAACCCAAATTGTTTGTTAAATAGTACATGTTCTCGGTTTTTGTTTTTATTCTTTATTTTTTTTTTATTCTTAGTTATTTTAGGAGCTCCAAGAAGCCCTTTCGGTCTTTTCACAGAGTACGCAGAACAGCATTTAACCTGAAAGATCACGCCTTTTTTTATACCAATGATGCAAATATGGCTAGAGGCAGCTTCTAACCAGAGACCTTCAGTTGTGAAGCAATACCTCTAACCGCTACAATATATCTGCTACGTCATAAACATTACTTTCATACGCCTAATGTCATACATACTACGTTCTAATAACTTTGAGATTGTATTAAGAACGAAATAGATTTATAATCAGACATATTTATCATATTACCAGTTTTAAAAATAGGTATGATTTTAGCAACTTTTAATTTCTCAGGCACAATGCTGAATTTTATAAAAAGGTTAAAATGTAAAACCAGGAGGGTTTAACAACATTGATGAGTGCTATACAAAATTAATGTTAGTTTTATTAATTACAGCACATTTTTATTTTTTAGACTACTGAAAGCATTTAGCACCTGTTTTAATTAACTTTTTTCATATATGTTTAGTTGATTTGAATGCCTCAATTTAAATGCTTTAAAATGCTTGGGACTATATAGTGTTTTTTGGAAGTTTATCAACTAACATTGGGATTATATCAAGGGATAAATTGTTAAGCTCTTTATCTATGACTTCTTTTTTATAAAAAGGTCTTAGTTAGGTGTTAGCTTTTTTGCTTTTGAAAAAAGTAGTTTTCTTTTTTCAGTCGTTTGCTTACTAAAATCTTCAATAACAAATCTTTTATTCCACAACCTGAGTTTTCTATTTTCTTCTAAATTTGTTTCCTTTTCATTTCAACGACTCTTCTTCTTTTCCTACAAAACCATCAAAAAGTTGTTTTGTCGACTCCCGTCTTCAGATTTGAATAATTTTTTAACTTGCAAAATAATTCAATTTAAATTTTTTGAATTAAATTAAAATAAAAAAAAAAACAAGGCAAAGTTTATTATTTAAAATCATCCTAAGTTTATAGAAACAACATTCTTCCACCTTCCATTAAAATTAATAAACAAACCATCACCATCTAAAGAACAAATAGAAACTAAAAAAAAAGTTGCTCCACGCTAAGCAACATAAGCGGTTTAAAATCAATGTTATCAATGGACGAAATAAAAGCTGATGAGAAATGAAGGAAGATTAAGTCTTTTGAGTTTGATAATGTCTAAATTTTGACATTTATCTCATTTTATTATACCGCTAATTTAAGTAAATAGCTTTTAATAAAAACATTTTTATCTCTTATAACAAATTTTCAAAAGCACAATCGCCTCATTCTGTCAGAGACAATATCTTATTTAAAATGAGATACTTTCAAATAAAATAAGTTTTTTCGGTGCAAAAATTATTGCTTTCCAAAAATACACATTCAACATCCATTTATGTTGGCAAAGTAATGCATGATATTATTTTTACAGATTTTGTGTTTGTTTACAAATGTTCTTGAAAAGTATGAAATTTGAGCCACCTAAACGAATACTGGCAATCATTGTGTTTTCCTTTCATTGTAATCATTGTGAAAAAATTTGATTGCATTATGTTCTTTTGCTTTAAAAATTGTATCCATCTCGAGATTGATTGCTTTATATCAGTGCTGTGGAGTCGGAGTTGCTGAGTTGCTACATTTTTAGCGGAGTCGGAGTCGGAGTCGCTAAACAAAATCGCGGCTCCGACTCCAATTGTAGAACTTCTCGGAATTGCACGTGCATGTACAAATTATTCAATTAACTTTATTTTCATACTTAACCTCAAAGAACGTTTCATAAATTTGTCAAAAAAAAATTTTTTTAACTTATTGGGTAATATTTTATAAAGATTTTTACAAAAATTTTTCTTTAGAGTTGTAGTCGGAATCGGAGTTGAAGTCGTAGTCGGAGTCGGAGTTGTACTCAAAAAATTTCAACAACTGGAGTCGGAGTCGGAGTTGCATTCAAAAAATTTCAACGAGCCTGTAATGATTTATGAAGACTTTTTTGATATCGAAAGTTTTTCATTGGTATTGATTTTTTTTTATTTTTTAGCTTTCCATTAAAGATGTATTTCTTTTTAAAAACATTAGAAACAGTTTAGATAAAAACATTTGTTTGCTGTTTTTTGATTTCGACAAAAAAACCCAGCTGTTTTACTGTTACCCTTAAACAGTTTTTAAGAACCCTAATTGTGATTAGTCTTATCATTGAGCAACCTATTTCACAAAATACACATTTTAATTAATTGTTAAAGTTTTGTTTTTTTCAAGTGTGTTTGTTCTTGTGTTAATAATATAACTGTTTTTATGTCATGTTTTCATTTTTCGTGTAGGCTGTTGTTTATATATTGAATTGCTGCGTTTTAATTTTTACTTTATTTATTTTGAAAATTAGAACATTTCTATTTTATTTATCTATTTAATAGAGATAAATAAAATGGGAATGTGATTTTTGAAAACATGATTTTTGAATTTAGTTTTTAACGAAGTTATAATAGGGAAATAAAATAAGAGAAAGTTGAGTAACTTTTTTTCGGTGTAGGATAAAGTTACGCCGGAAAATAGTTAAATATAAAAGATGTATTTCTTTTTTATAAGATTTTTAAGGCATAATATAATTTTTAACTGCCTTAAAAATTATTTTATAATAATTTTTAAGGCAGTTTTTTTGACATCAACGCCTCTTGAGATAAGCATCTTGAGATGATTCTTTTATGGATCTTGAGATGGTTTTTTCCATGTTGTTGTAGTGTTGCCTGACTACTTCATAATTTTATTACACCTTTAACATTGTGCTTCTAATTCATTAGTAAGTGCATTTTTGCGTTTTGTTTCGTTTTCCTAAACTGTCGGCGTGGCTAAAACAAAAACTATTCGAAAATGTCAAAAGATCTCTTCAGTCCAGTTTTTAAGTTACTTTTACAATTAATAAAGCTGAGCTTTTTTTATTTAAAATTGTGTTCAAATAAATTATTAAAATTATTTACAGCACATGAAAAAAAACTGTCAGTAATGCATATATACACAGTAAGGATACGTAGCTTATTTTATATTTTTTCAATTAATAATTTTAGAGCAGCAGTGGCGCAGTGGTTAGAGTTCATGCTCAGAACCCAGAGGTCCTAGGTTCAACGCCGGCTCTAGCCCAATAAGCGACATTGATAAGGGAGGAGGCGAGAACTTTTAGTTAAATGCTCTACCGCGGTGTTCCATGATAAGACCGTAAGGACTTCTAGGAGTACCTAAAACAACCTAATCAAAAAAAAATTAAAATTTGGTTGTCTGAGTAGCATATTCCCATAAGTCTGAAAACAGCAACTATTTGTTAAAAAATATTTTTAATAATTTACTTTTTATTTTTATTTTCATTTAAATTTGTGCGCAAATAAATATTCAAATAACTCACTAATCAGTGTCATTAAACTAGGATAGGCTAAGTATAAGCTGTGTATACTAAAAGTGAGAATGTATCAGGGTCGACAACAATTTATAAGTACTTATAAATTAATTCTAGAAACTTCTATAAAAAAAAAATTATTTAAAAACATTAAAAGCAGTTTAGAAAAAAACATTTGTTTGCTGTTTTTTGATTTCGACAAAAAAACAGCTGTTTTATTGTTACTGTTAAGCAGTTTTGAAGAACCCTAATTGTGATTAGTCTTATGAGGAATTTATTTCACAAAATACACATTTTAATTATTATTTTTGAAATTTCGATTTTTTTTTAGTGTTTGTTCTTGTGTTAATAATATAATTGTTTTAATGTCATGTTTTCATTTTTTATGTAAGCTGGTTGTTTATTAATTGTTTTGTTATGTTTTAATGTTTACTTTATTTATTTTGAAAACTAGAACATTTCTATTTTATTTATCTATTTAATATAGATAAATAAAATGGAGATGTGATTTTTGAAAACATGATTTTTGAGTTTAGTTTTTAAAGAAGTTATAATATCTAGAAGAGTAATTAAGGTTTGGAATTAATTTGTTAGAGAAATAAAATAAGAGATAAAAGTTAGAGAGTAACTTTTTTTCCGGCGTAGGATAAAGTTACTCTTGCGTAGGCGTACGATAAAGTTACTCTTGCGTAGGCATACGATAAAGTTACTCTTGCGTAGGCGTAGGATAAAGTTGCTCTTGTGTTAAATTTATTTGTACTTAAAAACTTTTCTGTAATTGTTTATAACTAATCTAATTTTGTGTTTTAGCATGAGTATGTGTTGGCATAAATTTTAATTTGGTAAATATTTAATGTTTGAATATTTTTTAACAAAGACTTAGCATGAGTACGTTTCTTTTTATGATATCGTTTCCTTAAGGCATGTTTTTTTGTTGGTAAAGGGACATTAATTTACTTTTGTGTGTTTTAATAAAGTTAGTTTAGGAAGTACTTATATTTTGTGTGTTCTAATAAAGTTAGTTTAGGAAGTACTTATATATTATAAATATATTAAATATACTCAAAAATAAAATTTTTATTTAAAAAAAAATACAAAATCGAAAGTGTAGCCGTGGCGCAATGGTTAGAGTTCAGGCTCAAAACTAAGAGGTCTACGGTTCAATGCCGGCTCTAGCCCAATAAGCGACATTGCTAAGGAAAGAGGTGTGATTTCCTATTTAAAAGCTCTTCCACTGTGCTCTGTGATAAGACCGTAAGGACTTCTAGGAGCATCTTAATAACCACAAAAAGAAAAAAAATCTTTAAATTGGTTGACTGTAATCAACAGTAATAATAAACGTAGGCTTACAAGAGTCACGAGACCAGGCAACTAGTGTCATCACAATACCAGATAACAGCAATAAACAATGTCACTTGTTTTTGTTCCAATGTGTTAACCGAAATTTGTTTTGCCAAAAAGTTTAAAAGTTTTCTTCAAATTCCTGAAACACAATTGAATTAGGATTACTTTTAAATTTATTTTTACTTTTTTATTACTTTCCTGATATAAGTTAATGCAAAAGAAACTTGGCTAACATTTTATAAGCATCACGAAGCGGACTTAAGCGACCTTTTCATTTTTTACATACTCAGTTCTACTAAGTTATGTAACAAAACAAGCAAATAAAAGAGAGCTTTTATAACATTGTAATCTAATGCTTTGAGTATCAAGATATTTTTATGTTTCGACATAAACAAACAGAATTAAACTTGATAAAGTTAAATCTAGCAAACATTTACTAATTGAAAAATAAAGCGAAAAATAATATTAGGGTGAGCGTATGTTATATAGTTGTAGTCACTAGTTATTCAAGTGGAACACAAACATACATATACATGTAGTAACTTGCGGATGAATGAAAATCGCACCAGCGGTTCAGACAGAACACAAACATACAATAGCATCTTACGGATGTGTGAAAACCGCGCCAGAGGTTCAGATAGAACACAAATACACATATATACGGGTGTATAAGTATGTTTGTATTATACATAGTTGTATGCGGGTGAGCTAATACAATAACTTTCACACCCGCAACTATATAACAGACAATAATTAACATTACTAAAAACATAAAAAATATTAGATACTATTGAGAACAAGATGTACACTTCTTCTAGCCTTTGCTTAGAAATCTACTAAGCAGCAGGATAAGGAACATGTTGCACTGGATAACATATAGCCACTAGCAGATTTTGTTTCATTAATTTTTTTTTATAATTTTTTCCTTCATTTTGTTTTCCTGATTCAATATTTAGACTCAATATACTTGTTATATGACGCACTAATATTGCCTTTTTATTTCTTATAACTAAGTATATCTTTCTTCCAAGAAATCAAACTAAAATGTAAAATAAAGTTTCAAAGCTTGAAAGTAAATTTGGAATGACACAAGTCTTTGGATGCATTGATGGCACCCATATTCCTATTCGTCGTCCATTAACTAATTCACAAGACTTCTTTTGCTATAAGCAATATTTTTCTCTTAGTGTTCAATCTGTATGTGATTACAAAGGCTATTTTATGGATGTTGAGTGCATGTAGCAAGGTAGTGTAAATGATGCTAAAGTGTTTGCAAATTCAACAATAAATATAAAGTTATTCTTCAAACTATTCTTTAAGCTATTCTTCAAACGTTTCAAAAACCAACAAAAAAAGGAGTGATGATACCTAATTATCTTATTGGTGATCCAGCCTATTCCATACAACCATTCTGTATTTCTAAAGAATATGAACATTGATCAAATAATGAAGAGGTAATTTTTAACAACATGCTTAGAGCAGCACGAAATCTAATTGAGTGCGCTTTTGGTTGCATTAAAGCTAGATAGGGTATTTTACCGAGAAAGTTTGACCTTAAACTAGAGGCTGTTCCTATTGTTATTTATGTCTGTTTTGTATTGCATAACATATGTGAAAAAACAAATTCTTATATTGACGATGAATTAGTAAAATCACAAACAGATCATTAAAAAAAACGAAAAAGAATGCAAAAATGTACCAAACCCAATATATTCTATAAAAATGAAGCTAAAGGATTAGTTATACGAAGAACTCTTACAGACTTGATAAATTAATATATATATATATATATATATATATATATATATATATATATATATATATATATATATATATATATATATATATATATATATATATATATATATATATATATATATATGTATATATATATATATATATATATATATATATATATATATATATATATATATATATATATATATATATATATATATATATATATATATATATATATATATATATATATATATATATATATATATATATATATATATATATATATATATATAGAAAGACTGTTTATAAAATTGTTTGTTTTTATTTTTTCTCAATATTTTTGAAAGTGCTTTTATCTAGACAAGTATTTGTTGGTAACACTAAGGGACTAAGTTGCATTTGTGAATATAGGTTTGATAAAACTGATTTAGGTTTGATGACTGTTGTTGCGTTTGTACTATAATAGCTTGTGCCAAAAATTCAATAGAACGACTTATGCCGTTTCCCTGGTTAGTCATTAATTTACTTACAGTGTCAATACTTTCTGTAAAGCATTTTATCAATTCTCGCATTGCCTCTGCCATTTCTTTTCTAAATTGAGTATCGTCCCTAGCTTCTTTAAACAGTGGTTGGTCGCGTTGGGCAACACTTAAATTTTGTTCCAAGTGCTTTCTTTTATTGTCAATAAGTTGTGGTATACAACTTTTTTTTTTTTTAGGGTTATCTGCCGTGTCACAGCTGATGACTGACTCTAGATCTTCTGATAAGTCTTGATCAACTGAAAGATTAGTTTCTTCAGTTTCAATAAAATCATCATTTTTAGCACCAAATGTAAGTGGTTCAATATTGGCTGAACCACCCCACAAGGAGAT